AATATCTTATAATGAATACCTACATTTTATAATAATGAATACCAACATCTTATATTGAATACCAACATTTCATAATGAATAATAACATCTTAATAATGAATACCAATATCTTATAATGAATACCAACATTTCATAATGAATACCAACATCTTATAATGAATACCAACATCTTATAATGAATACCAACATCGTAATAATGAATACCAACATCTTATATTGAATACCAACATTTCATAATGAATACCAACATTTTATAATGAATACCAACATCTTAGTAATGAATACCAACATCATAATAATGAATACCAACATCTGATAATGAATACCAACATCTTAATAATGAATACCAATATTTCATAATGAATAGCGATATTTTAATAATGAATACCAACATCTTATAATGAATACCAACATCATAATAATGGATACCAAACTCTTAATAATCAATATCAACATCTTAATATGAAAAAACAGCAAATACTAACATCCCTACAAAAAAAACAACATTCAATAATTGAAATATATGCATATAGCTGATATAGCTCCTAAATGACATGCATAACATTACCTGTAGAGAATCCAATTCCAAGTGCCACGCTGAAACCTGTTATGGCAATGACGTCATCTACACTAGCTGCAGCAATCACCAATGTTGGAATACCCTTGTTTACACCATATCCTTTGCCATGAAGATTTAACATAGATGACACAATTACAGCAGGGGACACCGCACCTAAAACGAAACTACCAAAAAACCCTCAAATATATCCAAGAATACCGAACATTGACAACACAAGAAGTACACATGCAATGCATTATGTAGGAACATAAACCTAGACACTAAACCTAGACACTTAGGGGCGAAAAACAGACTACACCTTCACAAACTCATACTTATAATGTTTGTCGATTTAATGTGACAAATCAGATATTTACACTTTCATCTGTTGCTGTGTATTGTATTAACGTCGGGTTCACACATTCACATATATACATGCCACCTTTGCATGCTTAAAAAATTAAGACAGAAAAAGGGTGAACATTTTTACTTTTTGGGCTGGCCTAATAGTGCATTCACAGCTACTATTTAATTTTACACATTTGCATAATTTGTTCTACTTGTAACGAATGTGTTCACGTCAGGCATGTCTGTGTTCACGTCACGTATGTCTGTGTTCACGTCACGTATGTCTGTGTTCACGTCACGTATGTCTGTGTTCACGTCACGTATGTCTGTGTTCACGTCACGTATGTCTGTGTTCACGTCACGTATGTCTGTGTTCCGATTTTAACAATCTAGCATACAATAAAAGCAATGATTAGTTTATATGTACTACTATTTGAAATGCAATACGAGTATGCTTACCCAAGCATGATACCGAAAACCCAAGGAAAATCAAGTAACAAAACGGAAATTATAGCGGCTGCAATACATTCAATTACACATGAGATAAAAGCAAGACGAAGACATGCTATTTTCAATTTCCTTAAAGCTTCAGCATCTAGACCTAGTCCAGCACGGATCAAAATCACTGTAAATGCAATATCTCGTAATGCCAGAGACCATGGTTGGTCAATATCTTTGGCCACATTAATGTAGGGCGCATTACGCAACATCATTCCTACCAATAACATGCCTGCAAATACAATAGAATATACATAATTATTAACAATAGGATGTTTAATAAGTGAAAAGAAAATATATTTTTTCAGGTGTTTAACATTATAACAGTAAATCACATATGTAGATCAGCTCACTACTATATAAATATATGGGGATGGTGAATCAATAGCACAAGCACCCAGGTAATTAGCATGTAAACTATAACCGTTATTATTGAATTTATGGTTATTTGTTTTATGATAGCGACTTCACGTTCGCACATTCGGTTCACATGCTGTTGCACTATTGTTTTAGAATCAACAACTTGCATGTTCAAGTTGGAGATTATAAACATAGATTACAGGAATTTTAAAAACAGATTGTTTACTTATTGTATTTAGTAGCAGCAAGGCTTTAACCGTGAAACACATCTCTGGTAATCACGTGATCGTACCAACGACTGCAGCGATTGTCTGGTCGCATAGTTACTCTGTCACGTCTTAGATATTTCACTTTTAATCACAGGGAGCCCAGGAACTATAATCAACTGTAATACGGAGTCTCTATGAGTGGGGGGGGGGGGGGGTTCGGCTGGCATGTAGTGTAAGAAATAGACTAAAAGGTGGTTTGACTGCTAGCTTTCCAGTTCAAAGGGGTATCAGACAGGGAGATGGTTTAAG